GCGACTTCACGGTGGAGGCAGCGATGGGTGAAAGACGGTGGTGGCGGCGTGAGGAGGAGAAGAACAGAGAGGGAATGAACGTGGGTGAAGAAAATGAATTTGGGAAATTAGGTTTGATTAGGTTGGGGACGGTGATTTCAAATCGGGTTGTTTTTTAGTTTTATATAATATTAATTAAAATCCTATTTACCACCTGAATTTTGAAATCTAAACTTTACCACCTTATTTTTGAAATGTAATTTTGGAAAAAAGGGTTTCAGGTAATTTTCTCTAAAATATAAGCTTGCAAATTAATTGTTTCTGAAATTGATAAGAAAAAATATTATCCGAAATCATGAATTTCCTAAGCAGCCAATAGGGGCGTGGCCGATTAACTAATAACTTCGTTGAAATATAAATTGAGCTAATAAATAGTATATATCCGGCAAAATAAGGGTTTTTTTATAAAATTTAAATTTGGTGAACGGTTTAATTTTGCTTCAAACCAAATATTGAAATTTATATCGAACCATTTCCAAACGACATACATAGATCCAAACCAGTAGTTCTAAAACAGCATTTCGGTTCGGACTTGATGGGTTATTTTTATTTATTTATTTATTTTTTCTCACTCCTAACTTTTATTTGTCATTTTATCCTTGAAATGGAAGGGCATTCATGGTAACCAAAAAATGCAGTATGACAAGAAATGCTGCGTATATATCTTGTTTGTAGAAATAACATTCACGTCTGTGTCTTAGATCAAAATATCGAATAATCCACCAAATTTCCACATATTTTGCTCAATAATATGAAGGCGTTTATCCAGATTCAAAAGTTACCAGAACCCATTGGATAATTCTTTATATGGTAGCAAAAGTTTTATAAATTATAATCCTACCGTCGAATGTCTTAAGGTTTCCACCCTTTGTTTCTCAGATTTCAAAAACATCAGCAATTGATACAGACATTTCTGATTCATATTAGAGAAGCGCCGTGAGTATGATTTTATTCTACTATTTTGCACATTCTCAAATACTTTCTTGTCTGAAAACAGTTTAATAATATATTTTCAGTGAAGATATTGTGATAATGTTGTAATGACACATTGTTATGGTTGAATGAAGAAGTCGTCGTTGAATTTTCTACTTTAAAAGTGATGTTCTAGAAAGTTGTTCAAGAACAGGGGAAATTCATTTTTGATTCTTGCTTGTTGATGTTTGCTTCCTCTGATTTTGCTTTGAGAAAGCTAAATTTTACTTTTGAAATATCTTAAAATACGAATCAAGGAAAAACAACCTTTTGATTCTGTGGGCAATTCCCACGTATGAAGTAGTATAATATTTGATTTACTTGTACTTAATATACTCTGGGTTTATGTTAATACTATTGTCTTTGAGAAATTCCAGGAGATAAGAAGAAAATTATAATGGAGTCCTCGTTGATGAAAGTAGACGAGGTTGTAGAAGAGATAATGAGAATCCATAGATCCTTACCGGGCCGACCCGGAATCGATGAAGTTGAAGCAGCCAAAACGTTAATCCGAAACGTGGAGAGGGAAGATCAGTTGAGACTCGAAGCGGTTGCAAGGCAAAGCAAAGCCAAAGATGTGCCAGAAGAATTATTCAAGGTGTTTCAAGAGATTCAGAGGATTTTGATCCATTTTCAAAGCGCGGAGCAAAAGGGGGAAGCTCTGAAACTGTTGGATCTTGAAGGTGTCCACCTACTGTTCGATGATTCGATTCAGAGAGCTTCCAAATGCTTGCCTTCTAAACCAGGTTCGAATAATTCACAGTCGAATGATGTTTCCGATAGTTCTTCGAGGGATTCGAGCAGTTTATCCTTGGCAACCTCGGCTTCCTTCTCCGGCAACAGTTCCAATTCTCCAGCGATGGATACAACCACATCATCTTCCCTGTCTTATATTGAGAAGGAGAGAGTTAAGGCGTCAGAGTGGTTTAGCAAGGACGATAGTTATTTGAAGAAGACAAAGACTGATTTTCAAGTTGATGGAATTGGTATTGGAATTCGATCTGTGGGTGTTCTAACAGGGCCCCAGATTGTTGATTCCACTCTGAAGCCGGCTATTACTTCGGGTAAGTTCGACTTCATTTGCTGCACGGGGACTAGTATATGTTTTTTGAATTGGCAATTCTGATGTATATTTATTTTCATTTATTGGATTTTGGATTTAAAGTTGCATCAATTGGTATGGTTTGTAGGTCAAGACTCTGATAAAATGAGTTTAATTAAGCTTGCTAGTTTGATTGAAGTATCAGCAAAGAAAGGAACTCGGGAGCTCAATCTTCAAGCTAAATTGGCTGATCAAATTGAATGGATTCCTGATTCGATAGGGAAGCTATTTGGTTTGATAAATTTAGATTTATCACAGAATCGAATTCTGGTATTACCTGACACCGTAGGACGACTTTCATCGCTGGAAATGTTGGATTTACATGGAAACAAAATTGGCGAATTGCCAGAATCCATTGGGGATTTACTTAATTTAGTCCGTCTTGACTTGAGTGGAAACCAAATAAAAACATTGCCTCCCACTATTGGTAAGTTAAATCGACTTCAAGATCTTGATTTAAGCTCTAACGGGATCAAGGTCCTCCCAGAGACAATTGGATCACTCGTCAGTCTCGAGAAATTGAATGTTGAAACTAATGATATTGAGGAAATCCCTCATACTATTGGTCGATGTACTTCACTGAAAGAGCTTCACGCAGACTATAACCGGCTTAAAGCTCTACCTGAAGCAGTAGGAAAAATTGGATCCTTGGAAGTACTTACAGTGCGTTACAATAACATCAAACAATTGCCCACCACAGTGGCATCCTTATCAAGCTTGAGGGAGCTTAATGTTAGTTTCAACGAGCTCGAGTCAGTCCCAGAGAGTTTGTGCTTTGCTACAACGCTTGTAAAGATGAATATAAGCAACAATTTCGCGGACCTGCAATCTCTGCCAAGGTCTATTGGGAACCTTGAGATGCTAGAGGAGTTGAATATGAGCAACAATCAAATAAGATCCCTTCCGGACTCTTTCAGAATGCTAACTCGACTTCATGTGTTAAATGTTGAGGGAAATCCTCTGGCAGTGCCACTTAGAAATATCATTGACAATGGAGCACAGGTAATCTGTCTTTGACACTTGTGTTATTACAGTGCATCTGCAGCATCTCCTTTATGCTTTTTTTTTTTTGTTGTTAAGACTAACTGATTTTATATCCATTCAGGCTGTTGTCCAATACGTGGCCAATCTTGTTGCTCAGAGGGATGCGAAATCACAACCAGTGAAGCAAAAGAAATTTTGGGCTCGGATATGCTTCTTTTCAAGATCTAATAAACGCAAACGCAACGGCATGGACTCTGCAAAAGCTTAATATAGTGCAGCTTGGTGAAAATATCGACAATGAATTTCTTTGGGCAAGTTATTCTCCTCATTGTAGCCCTTATTTATTCATTTTCATATGAATTATAAACATTAGTGGTTTGCAGACTTTAAATCTGTGGTGTGATTTATAAGTTCTCTGCGGAGATAGTTATCGACTCCTGAAGTAGATTATTAGTGGCATTTCATCATTACGAATGATTTAACATCCTGTTAAATTTCCCCATTTATAAGTGATCATATTTAGCTGTTTTGATAACAATAACTGACTGTTGGGTTTTGAGGGGAAAGCCTCACATGCTATTTATATTTTATTATACAGGAAACTGAGCTGTGATTGGGTTGGAAGAGCACTTGTATGGCCAAATTCATTCGTCTTTACAGCAAAATGATCTGTTCAGATATGACTCTGATCTTTGCCTCGTGTAATTGTAGTTTTTTTTTTCTCTGCTGATAACTTCACCTTTATTTTTCCATTCTTGATCTAAATTGAGCTGTACGGTTAACTTCAACCTTGTTAAATTTTGAAGAAAATTTGTAATACCTCTCCTTGCTGATAATGAAGTATAAGTTTATTTGATTCAATTCCTTCGACAGGAAGGAAGGAACCTAGTATCTATCTTGTTATTCATTAATTTAGTCAAACCACATATTTTATTTGGTATTTTGTACAAATATTTAATAGGGCATCTTGTTAAAATTTCAGAAAGAATCTTGACGAAGACTGTAAACGTGAGTCATATTCTTGTGAAGCAAATTCAGTGTTGACTTTCCTTGCTGTTGTCATGGGTTTTAACTTGATAGCAGCCCTTTTTTTTAATGTTTTAGATGAATCAAGTTTTAGATATTATCCGTTTAGAGAGAGAGAGAGAGGAAAGAACTCTATATTATGATGTCATGTTTGGTACAGGCGGGCTGGGCAATCGTGAACTAAAATTTTATCCATTTTATATTTCACTGATTCATACTTGATACCGAATATACTCTTGAAATTCTTACATCTGATCCCCCAACCCCATGAAGAAAAAGAGGAAAATTCCCCAAAAGAGAATTGATTCTTCTGTGAAACACGAGGCACTGTGGCCTACATGTCGATTCTTCAGGACGCTGGCACGAGGCAGTTACCAACCGCTGTCTTGCTAGATGATGGATCTGTAGCTAGTTAAGTTCGATTATTTCTATTGAATGCTTGTAATTCGTGTTATAATTGATATTAACAGCCTATCTAGGGAAGACAAAAAAATTCGTCAATCCGAAACTCGTGGGGTCCGCCCCGAAAGAGGTGAGGACTGAGGATTACCCGCCTAATCGGGTAGATGGGGCGAATGTCATTGTCCCGAAGCGGGTATGAGGTGGGTACGAGAATCATAGTCCTCATCCCGCTACCCGTTCTGTTTAAAGTTAATTTTAAATTTAAGTTTTTTATCAAATAAAAATAATAGATTTATCATATTTTTAAAGATAACATAAGTTATTTCGAACAAATTGATAAAAAAGTAATAATATTTATTAAGTAAAGACGAAAAAAAATAAAAGTAAAAAATAAAATAAATAAATAATAAAAAGAAAAAGTAAATGAGACGATAAATGGGGTATGAGACTTGTCTCTCCCCGTCCCGCTTTAAAATGATATGAGGATGTGGTAATGTAAAAAAAATACCCGATGGAATGGGGTGAGAATGACTGACCCGTCCCATACTTGTCCCGTTGTGATCCCTAAACCTATCCTATTTTGCCAATTATATTTATCAAAATACATACACTTGCCATTTCTAGCTGTTCAACTGGCCCATGTACCTCGTTAATTGTTTTCATTTTTCGGGTATCTGTCATTTTCTCCTTTAATGCTCAGCATAGAGCTGAAATCTAGATATTTGCCTGTAACCAGCAATGCAACTTCTTTTTGAAATCTTCAGGGTAATTGATGACTACCATAGTGCCACCAAAACATGCCCTTTTCCGTGTGAGTTTGGCACTAAAAAAAAGGATGTGATGACTACGAGAATTTCTATGACGAAATTTTGTAGGATAGTGCCAAGAAAAAAAAAAAAATTAACTATCTTTTAGATTCAACGTTCTTCTTTTAATCAGTTTTTTCATAATATCAATATATAAAATAATTTCTCTGTTTAAAGATGGAGTTTATGATTTTAATCGTTTAAAATATGTGCATTATATTCTATTATCTCTATGAAATAATTGACCTTGGTCTTTAAGGGATATTTAAGGTTTAAAACGGATGAGTGAGTTTTAATGATTGCTATTTCAACTAGGGCTGTAAATGTGCTAAATATTGATCGGATCTGTCTATATTCGATCCGGTAAGAATAATTATCCTATCCGATTCGATCCGATCCGATAATCCAACGAATATTTCATCGTTAAATCTATATTCGATCCAAAATTAAAGAAATTAGGGAAGAAATCAATATTAGAATCAACTTTATTTTTTATTTTTCCAATTCTTAAATGGATTTAATAATTATAAATTTCTCAAATTTTTATATTTTGAACTTGATGATTTTTTTAATTCTAAATTTATTTATTTTCTCATTTATTTATTTTAATGACAAATAACATATCATAAAAAATTTTACCGACTCAATTATTTATAACAAATCGTATCGGATTGTTATCGGACCATATTGACTTATATCCATATTTGATCCATTTAATAAAGATTATCGGATTCAGATCTTGATCGAGTTATCGGATTGAGACCCTAAATTCATCTCCCATTAATTTCATCGAATTCAGATCAAAATCCAATTTATTGACAGTCCAAATTTCAAGCTCGAAGATGACAACTCAAACTAGAATTAGATGTTGAACTTTGGAACATACTACAGTCCCAAGTGACGAAGAGCCAACATCGAAGTGACAAGCCTTCCTGTCGATGTGAGCTCTTGGGGAAGAGCCCCTTATCCCTAACTCAAGCTAATTGTCAAGGAAACTCATAGTATGATGATATGTTTGATAACGTGGACCACATAATATAAAAAAAGAAATAAAGAAATTAATCTTTTGTTCATCATATTATTATATCTATATTCTATACCACACTCATCCTAAATTTCCGTGAAAAGTTTCATAGGATGCTCGGATGTGGCAATTATCAACTGCTGCTGTCTTATTAGTTAATGGTGGCCAGCTATGTCTTTCATTATCAAGACTCACTTGATTTTCCCAAGAAATACTTTCTTAATATGTGAATTCAAGATCAATGAGTATGAAGGCTCTATGAAGAATAGTAAGAAGTGATATAAAAAAGAAGAAAAGATGTAGTGATGTGAACGTCACGTGGCATAAGATGTAACAATGTCGAGAATAGTTACTCTCAAAAGAAAGATTACTCGTGTTCTTCACACACTTGTCGATCTGTAAAAAGTAAGTCGTAGTTGTGAATCTTGAATCCATGACACACAATGAGCATTAGACAAGCTTATCAATTATTCGAACAAATAAATTTAAGAGAAGTACTCCTAAGAGAGGAACACAAGTTATAGAAGAATTGGCGATTCTCACATAAGTAAACAAAAACACATGAAAATAACGAACAAAGAAAATTAAAAGTTTAAACGACTCGTCCTAAGCATAGCCGGACCTGAGGAGACACCAAAGAGGCCAACGCCTCAGGCCCAGATCTTAAAGGGGCCCAAATTTTTTTCTGTTTCCCTTTTTTTTTTATTTAAAAAAAAACACGAATATTTATACTTATTTACTCTTGCTCGGTTGCTCCAAATAATGAGACTTCTTCAATAATAATATTGTGAATCACATAATCAGTGTTTGGTTTAAGAATACTCATTCCATTGTGTAACACCCTCTCGGTATATATTTATGTATCGTTACACATATCTTTGTTGATATGATTGTATATTAACTCTACTTTTTTAATGATTTTGACTGATAGATTCTATATATTTAATTAATTATTATATAGTTTCGTCTCTAAATTCAATTGCATTTTTTCAAAATCTCGTTGATCAGATTATTGATTTGTGTGTGGGATTGAATTGTTTTTCTCGATCTATGATCCGTTATTAATTAATGTGAATTTTTGCCGTATATGGGGTAATTGGGAGCAATATATGGTTAAATATTATGTAATTTAACATCTTATTACGTTACATTATGAAAAAATATTTATGACCTTGGATGATATATCATTATTTTTGTTGCAATAACAATTTATTTTTTCTCTAAAGGCTGTGAACCCCGTGCAAAGTAAGAAAATGTGTAAAATTTAACCAGTTTTGCAAATAAGAAGTTTATTTCTTATTTTAAGTGAAATTGAATTCATTACAGTATTTACACACATGTAATGGAAGGAAATCTTCTCCCACTATAGCTAAGTTAGAAACATTGATAATTATTGATTATTTTTAATTTTTTTCCATTTTCTGTTTATAGATTGTTTGATAAATTTTTTTATGGCAAGACAGGGGCGCCACATGCCATGCAGATTTATTCTTTTTTTTTTTTGACAAATTTGATTTCATAGATATTTTATAACCATATTGTAGAATAAAAGCAAAAATCTTGTTTTGGTTATGTACTTGTGGAATAGAATATTTAGGAAAGCAGAAAAATGTTAAACAAGTGAGTCAAATACTATGGCTCATACATATACGTCTAGAGTTTTAAAAAAGAAGAAGAAAGAAAGAGTAGAAACATTAATTCAAAGCCATGCGGAAGATATGAATAAGTACTTTAATGGCAAATGGGTCCAAAAAGAATTGACGACATCTTTTCATTTTATTTGTTATTTTATTGTTGATTTTAAGTTAACAAATTTAGTTCCGTAAAACTCTTATAAATAAAAAAAATTGATTGCTTGTTATGATTTAGGAGCGCAAATTCTCATGTTTGCCTCCGGCCCTGGTCCTAAGAGATTATGCTATTCTTGATACAGTGCCTTCAACGGTTGCCAAGGCATAAACTGACAGAGAAACTGGGGCCATACATAGAGAAAATATTGGACTAGAAATG